TTTTTTTTGCACAAGACATGTTCTCCTCTCCCACAGACTTGAGAAGTCTGAAATCCACAGGCAAGGTGTTTTACAGTGATGACAAACTTTTGAGTGTTTTAAAACACAGTTAGAAAAAAAATCTAGAGATCCCATCAAGTCTTCTGGTTTCCTTTTAGTCCACACATACATGTTTAAGCAAAAACACTGGTGAATGCTAAACAGGAGACTCAGGGGAAGGGAAATCACTTTGTCACTTGTCTCAACCTTTAACCCAGCATCTGCATCAATGCTTAGATTTCTTCAAACAGAGCAGAGCTGCTGCATTTTCAGTGATGCCCACAGCCACATGGCTGGCAACATGCCAGCTTCTATAAGTTCTATATTTCCACAAGCTTCAGAGACTAGGGTCAAGCTGAACTGACATCAAACCTGTGCAGAATGTTACACAAATGAAAGCTGCTCTTTAAAACAAGTGTGAAATCGAGCAACAAGAGAAACAGCTGCAACATTTTACTAGTCACAAAAAGAAAAAGGAAAAAGCAGTTTGTGAATGGCTGCTCCCTTTCTTCCAGTAGCTTTGCTTCAAAGCTCCTGCACACATTTACAATCAAATGCAAAAGAAAGGAAACCTGCCACACACAAATAACCCCTCAAAAGCCATTTATCCAGACAACCAGCAAATATGGTATGTAAGTAGTTCCCTCCAATAATAAGTCACTAGGGATTTTGTTTGTTTTAAATTTTTATTTCTTTTTTAGAATCACTGGACTAGATAGTAAACCCAACTCTTCATAAGTTTTTAATGGTAAAAGCTTGGGTTTTTAAAAAATATTTTCTTTTAAAATAATGAGAAAAACAAACAGTAAGAAATAACTGAACCCAGTAAAAAAGTGATTGCCTTATTTCATATCCCATGAATGCACAATGGGGAATACTTACCTGTTACTTGCTTGTCTGGAAGAGATGGGATTGGAATGGCTAATCCAAATTTAACAAGAAGACGCTCATACAACCAGTCAAAGTGCTTGTATCTGTGGTTGACAGACCGATTAGTGTTCTGCAAGAGAAACACCACACTGAATTCTGACAGGCATCTACAGATAGTGACATTCAACAAGTGTTACCAGAAGGATAAATACATGGCATGTAAATAAAACATATGGTTTAGAGCCCTGAATCTGTAATTATAGGAGAACTTGAAATGTGAGAACAAATTCTCTCTTTGAGGAAAAACAAGTCTAACAACTAACACTCTTAAAACCCTGTCACAATGTCACATAAACCACATTACATTTCCTAACGACCCATATTTGCAGGGAGAAGATCCTGTTTTGGACACACTTACAGTGCAGGTCAGCTGATATTCAATGTAGCTCTTGAGACCATACATTTTAGAACCTTTTTTGGGATCTGCCACCACACAGTCAAATGTAGAGGTAGGATAAACCCACATTGGGCCATAATCACCAATCTGTAAGAAATCACAAATATATCATGTTGTTCCAGCTGCAAACAATGAGACAAATACTTCCTCTTCATTTGAGTTTCCACTGATTTCAGTGAGAGCTTGATAGTCAGGGAAAAAAATGGTTTCTCACAACCAGAGATGGACCACATTTGTTTCTTATTCTGTATTTTACAATTTTTCCCAAATAGCAAATGAGTGGTAAATTCTAGGGATTGCTGCTTCAACCACATTTCAGTAGAACAGCATATATCTAGAAGAGTTTGTTCCTTAGATCAGAAGATGACCTGATCATCATGACTAGATCTTGCAAAATTTTATTGATGTAGTTCCTATGTATTAGATATCTATCTAGATAACTAAGAGACAGGGTAATGTATTTGCTCTGCCTCTGAACCCCAAATAGGCTTATCTTCGTGATCACAAGTAATGCAGATCCAGCATGAGAAAAAAGTACCAAAAAATTAATAAATAACAATTCAGCACACTTTGAAGAAAGGAGGAGTTAAGACCTGACCCTGAAAAATGCCTCAATGATTATATGACTCTGAAATGTAGTCTAACATAAAATTAAAGCACTTAAATAGTACACAGTTTTATTATGACAGTTCTATTTCTAATTAAACATTCAGTATCAGTTTTTTCTGACCCAAATACATATAGCAGCCCTGAGGATAACAGTTGAGTTGGGGGAAAAGGGAGGGGTGTGAAGATTAAAAAAAAAATAATGAACAGGCCACAAAAAAACAAAACAAAAAACCCCAACCCCAAAACAAAACACATCTCCCACACACAAAAACTACACACACATCCCCAACTTACTATTATGGGAATTTTCTCTTTGGGTTTTGCTAGCTGCTTTGACAACAGATACTGTTCCATCCCAGGTTTTGCAAATCCAGGAAATCTAGCAATAAAATCAAGTTATAGGTTTATTCTGTATTTTCCTTCCTTTGACATAAGCAGAATTAGCTTGAACTATAGAAAAAAACCCCTTAGTATTTCTCAAATATGTAACAGAACTTACGTAAATTACTTTAAAAAAACCCAACAATTTGCCCTGAAAAAGCAGAAAAATTTTAGCTACTGACTTCCAGCTTTTACTGTGGAATATACACCCCTTCTTCCAAGTCAAAGTAGCTATTTGTGCTCTGCAGCCAATCAGAACAAGTGTAAAAGCAGCACACAAAGTTAACATCTGCCACTCCATTGCAGGCCACTCTCTCTGGAAATACACACACTCATGCACACTGTCCTGCCATTTCAGATTATGAGAATTCAATCTGAAAGAATGACAGACTCCAGATTCAGGAACTGCTTCGAAACATGAGTCATATTCCATAATTTCTCCATCAATTGGAAAAAAAAAATGTAAGAAGTCCTACAAAAAGCAACAGCAGTTCTCTTCCTGATTAGGAAGATATTTCAAGTACTGCAAACCTACTGCCTGCTTGCAGAAATACAAGGAGTAAAGTAGGACTGACTTCACAGACAAATAATGCTGTTAAATAAGAAGTGTTTATACTGATTCTGCTAAATGGGTCTGCAACACGTAGATGTCACAATGATGCAAAGGTTCAGTTGCAAAATAGGACAAAACCTCCACTAATGAACAAAACCAGCTGTCTCTGCATGTCTAGTAGTTAACTTCCTGAGGACACTATTCTTCTATAATCCTTTCCCACTCTGCTTCCATCCACTTACAGATTACCACATAGTAGCTTCTCAGAGTAACAGTAATTTTATAATAAACAAACATTAAGTTGTAACATGATAGAATGCTAGCATAACCCTGACACAGCTTCATGCTATTGTAAGATTTTTGTCTAAAAATTGAGCTTTTTGCGGCTCAAGAAACAATCTGTGTGATGCACATACAGGAGAGCAGAAGTCTTCCCCACTCCTAGCAACTTAGAACTGCTCATGAGCTCTGGGCAGCATGTCTGATCACCTGCTGCATGGGTGAGCCAGCATTCATTTTTCATTTTCACTAAGCACACGTAGTGTTAAGGACATAAATTATAAAACCCATAGGTCCTGAAGCTCAGATCTTGCAGAAGGACCGTTTGCCTGTATAACACTTCCACAAATTGTACAGCTTTGTCCTGTACTTTCTGACTTTCATGGATCTGTTCTCTCATCACAAAGGGAGAATGCTGGGCTACAACTCCATTGCTACATTTGTCCCAAAACTATAATATTTACATTGCATTTTTCAAGAAGGTTGAATGGTCACACATTTACACATCTTGACAAACTCCAATTCTCTTCAATATATACACATCTGCCCTGCATTTTCCATTACTTGTTAAGTGGTAACTTCATAGCAGCTGAACGAGAATTTCCACGCTGGACCCCCCCAGCCTCTGATGTCTCAGTCTCTTTGTAACCAAGGTAAGATGGTGAAGCTGATTTTGGGTCATCCCAGTCATCATCCCAATCATCATCATCAGCAGCTGCCAAAGTACAGGAGGGGGCAGAGGGGTAGGGAAATGAGAAAGTTAAATCTTCTCTTTAAAAGCAGAAGCATTTGCCTCATCACTCATACACAAATAGTCAACAACGTAAGTAAGAGCTAGTTCAGCCTTCTATTTTATGATTCCACCTCAATTACCACCATTCCCACCAAATACAACCTGCAAAACACTACAGCAGAAAGCCTTCGGCAGAGAGTGAAAAAAAGAAAGAGATGCTAGTTGTTAAGATTAATTCAATAGTGTTCCATATTCATACATTCCATGTTAGCATTCCCCAGTTATGAATTCTCCTCTTAATTTAGGCTTTTACTACAGAAAGCTAGAGAAGCCTTCTGGCAAGCCACTTCCTAAAATTAAGGATTTAAGAGAGTACTACTTCACAGGCATGAGGACACAAATTCAAGGGTGCTAAAGTTCCAGTTACACAAGCTGAACAACAGACCTGAGGGTAGATCATGTATGCCCAAGACTTTAGCTTGTCAGACTTCCATACAAGTTTGAGGTGTCTCTTACTGTAGATCTGAGGGTTTTTTTCCATTTTATTTACAAATCCCATTATTTAAGTGTCCAGTTTACTCACACAGCAATGTGCTACAAGGAAGCTGGCTTTGTTTTGTTTTTTAAAGAAGCCACGTTCTAAGATATTAAGCAGTTCTTACTTCTACTGTCCACTTACTTTAATGTATTAAAAAATAACAGCATTATTAGCACACCTGGTCCTTGATATGCCTGTGGATGACCAAATGCTGGTCCTGCCTCCCAGTTATTTGAAGCACTGTTTCTCTGGCCAGCTGTACTTTCAGGCTTCGTCGCCCAGCTGTCAACAGCATTTCCATTGTCCCAGTTCCCAGACTTCCCAACATTCCAACTGGACCAAGGATCACCAGCACTGTTTGCCTATGTTTATATAAAAACAAAAGAAAAGAAGAAATTGCTGAAGAAATGAGCAATGATCATGTACTTTCTTCTTTAAGTCTTTGATCTCCTACTGGTAGGCTACAAGTCTGCATTTAGCACTTGTTTGATTTGGGAGCAGCTGCCAAATCCCAAGATTCCAGCTACACGGCTCTTACACGCAAGAAACACCTGGAAGAACTGCTCAGCTTTCCAGCAATGTGACACCAATACATACTAATAAGAGTATTGCATCTCCTCAGGGAAATTAAACTGTTTGTTCCAACAGTGTTCAGAAGCACTCTTACCCATGGTAATTATTTCACACCAGCACTGTAAGTATGGTGCATGTGAACGATTAATTACATAAAGCCATGAACTAATTAGCATATTTAAATCACAAACTCAAGAGTCAAGGGTTAAGTTTTTTTAAATGCTTATTTTATCAAACTCAGTGGCATTACTAAAAGCAAATTGCCCACCCACACCATCACTGTTGGTGTGACAATTAGTGAGTCAGGGCCAACAACCCGTTCCCTGTCAGAGCTCACCTCACCCACAGCCAAGACAAGGGAAGGAAACTAACATTTGCCAGGGAAAAGTTTGGCATTTCCCTGTAAACCTAGTTGCCCAAAATAAGCTTCTGGTGAAGGTAATCGCACACACCCTTCTGTTGATGCTGCTGCAGGGATGGAAGCCTCAGTGAGAGGGTAGAAAAGACACATCTCTAACTACTGCATAAATTTGTCAAGTTCATCTGGCAGTAAATTGGATTAAAAGCCTAGCAACCTGCTCAGCTCCTTGAGCTCCTTTCACAGTTATGCTGTGAAAAAGCATGGACTAGTTAAGTGCAGTCTACTCCAGACACTTAGTGCAGAGACTAACTGGCAGAAAAAAAAAGAAGCCCCACACAAATCAAAACCCACACACTTCAAAGTGTAGGAGGAAGAAGAAGGGGAAGGAAAGCAAACAAAGCCTACAAAGCTTGTCTTGTTCAGCAGAGTGAAAAACTGTTTTGTAAAAGAAAGCCTCAACACATACTTAATCTAGTGCATTATCTTTGCCATGAAGAAGCACATCAAAGAAGGGATGCCTAATATAAATTAATTGCTATTAGATTGTAACATTTACATGATTGTTATAACATTTTCCAGTACTGAAAATCACAGAGTCAGAGATCACCTAGTCCAACCCCC